GTTAAGGTGTGTGGTGTCGCCTTTTGGGCAGGGTGAGGGTGTGACATTACCAGTGCTTCTTCCGTCACCCTCTCGTGCTTAATCCTGACGGCATCTTTCCGGAGCGCCACCTGGTCTCGCTCGGCTCGGATGCGCATGATTTCGTCCCGAAGAGTGATCCTCTCTTTCTGGACACTGCGTACTCGCTTGCGCAAGCTGTGGAGCGTGTCGAGGAGAATGGTCTGAAATTTTTGAGTCAGCACGGTACGGTGGCAACCACCACCAGCCTGGGGGTGCGGATCTACCCACATGTTGGAGGAGCCGCGTCCTCAGTTCGTCCTGATACGCCTCCAGGGCCCGTTGCTGCACGCGATGCTCCCTCTTAGTGGATGCATCTTGAGCATTACGCACTCCCTCCTTGAGGGTCTCTATGCTAATCTCGATAATCTCGTCGCACGTATGGGTCAACACGTCGACCGTGTTCACACCGCCGCGCCCGGCGAAAGGGATATCCATAGCGAGCACGTCTGCTTCGTCGTCGCCGCCTTCAGCCACTTGCACACGTTTTGTGAAGCGCTGCACGGGAATGGATACAGCCTCATCGACCCCATCTGATCCAGACTTCTTCCTGCGCTTCGGTGCAGCTTTGGGTGAGGCGTTCTTCGCTGTAGAAGCCGCCCTGCCTTTGGATGCCGCCTTCGGTCTGCCTTGCTTCTGCTTCGCTGGGCTATTTTGAGCTTGTTTCCGTCGCCTCTTTGTCACGGGCTCTTCTTGTTGCTCCTCTTCAGCTATCGTAGAATCTGGTTCCGGGGATGATTTCCGGGGACTCGTGCGCGGTCGCTTCCGACCCAGTTGTTGAGCTGCTTCCTTCGCGCCCACTTCCTCGGCCAAGCTTTCATTGTGATCCTGTTCCTGCTGTAGCACTTCGTCAACGATAGCGTCCAGCTCCGGTCCCAGTATCGATTCGGTTTGGGAATTATTTGCTGTTGCTCGTTCTGATACGTCGACAGGTACTTCTGATGCTTCTTGTTCCGCTTCCTCTGGCTCTGCTTCACCACGATATGAAAGCTCGGGAGACCTTGTCCTAGAGACAGAGTTTGCTGTTCGATCCGGAGAGAGCTCGTCCAGGTCCTCGTTGGCAGATGCGGCCGAATTACGACTCCCACGAGAGCTGAGTGTGGACCTGCGAGTGCTAGTCGTGTTCCGCCGCACTTTGCGCTCCAAAGGAGACGATATTGGAACAGTCTCTGTCGCGTTTTCTCCCGGGGATAGGGCTTCTTGTAACCTCGCGCTCGACGCGACAGCACTGCTTGTTGTGATCCTCCGCCGTCTCCCACTGCCCGGCGCATCCGCAGGACTCTCCTCCACCTCGGTGTTATCTGCTGTCATCCGCCTCGATACTGGTGAAACAAATGAAGCTGACGGGGCGGGCCGCGGTGGCGGCAGAGACTCGACCGAGTCAGGGTCGCCGGCTTCGACAACGGCATCGGGCCTCGCTGCGGGCTGCGTGACTGTGGCTTGTGCGGATTCGGTAGAGGTTTCTTCTTGGAGTTCGTAGACATCTGGCTTTCCTGGCGATTTCTGCGTCTGGCTAACATTGTCCGCCTCGGTGATACCAGGTCGCGCTGTTTCGCTGTCTAGTCTGCGTCGCTTGGCAGATGTATTCGGGGTCGGTGTCGGTCGGGGCGGCGGCCTCTCGGGGCTAGTTTGCGCTTCGATTTCGGTTGTGAGGTCGTCGCCAAAGTCCAATTGAAACGAAACATCGTCAATCTGGCCATGTCTTCACATATTGCGGTTAGGCAAAAAGCATTAAAGGGGCCGGAATAGCTTACCCAGCTCCTCGCATGCGCTGTTGCATGCGCTCCCCTCGTGCTGTTGAAGGTCAGCATCTCTCGTTGGTGGGGCTCTGCGATTGGACTCACTGGTCATGACTGCGGACTATGACGAGCTCGCAAGTGCAAATGAAACCCCCGGATTGTTCGTGTGCAAGAGATATATCATTGAGGAAGAACGAGTATCAATTTGTGACTATTGTGGTTTGAAGCGCATACTTGAACGAGCTCAGGCCGATCTCTACACAGCAGACTGAGGGGCGGCGCGTCTACTAAAGTACTGGCCAGGCGTGTCGCGACGACCCTTTACACAAGACACCCCTGCAGTCCGTTTTGTGGCCCGTGCACAAGCAGCACCCAGACTTGGAACTCCACACACGATGCCTCTCCATGAGCCATTGCTTTGTCACTGTTCGAGGATGAAAAGGAATACTAGCCCTCAAAGGCATTCAAGAAAACATTCATCAAGTGGTACTTTTGACTTTACTGAGATATATCTTAATTTGGGCAAGAAACAGAGGTTCATTTCTTGTTTGGCCAGTAAGTTGAGGGATGATGAATGCATCACATTTGCTCCCTCGCTCGCATTGTCAACTCTGTGCTCCCATATACTCCCCTCTTTCCACTCAAAGGTTCGAGATACATTTTAGGTGTAAACTAAATGCAGCTTTGTTACTTGGATTCAGGATACTCAAATCCGATATCTGCTTTTTCCCGTAGCTCTTGCCAGCCAGGTCAAGTAAAAGCTCTTAACTCGAAAACCTCGACGTCATCTCAGTAAGATTCGATCATGTCACAAGTCGGCAGACTTTCCTGAATACTTTCCTTACTTGCACTTGCCTTCCCTTCTTTGCAAGTCAGCCTTTCAAGTCTTGAGATATCAATCTTGCCTTCTTACAGATATCATCGTACCTGCCCCTGATACCAACATTCCGCCAAACAGCTCCTTCTCGATCGTCATATCCAACTGCAGGAAACTCTTGGTATTTAATGAGAAAACAGACTATTTGCGTCCTTTCTAAAGCGTTCAATTTTCAACTTGGCCTTCAACCTATCAATACAAGACCAGTCTTCGCCATTCAGACTCGGGCAACAGCAACTTTACTCCTCAGCTTCCTTCGGTTGATCGTTGTCCTCTGGGAGAGGGGGAGCCTACCTTCCCATACATCTCATTCACTCTTCCTCAATCTTTCCATGAATTCATTCACTTATCTTCTCTATCATTTTCAAGACACAAAATCACTCATTCTCGACATTACATCTCCAACCTATATCAAGCGCAGTGTCGCATCCTCCATTCCATCATCGTCTAAATCATATCTACACGATTTAAATCTCTAAGAAACACCATCTCTTGGCGGGACTCTCCCAGAATGGCTGACGTTGAGATGGCAGATGAGTCCATCGTCGAGCTACACCCCTCGTGGGATGTTGCTCTTATTGTGGCTCATAACAACGCCCAGAAGAAATTCCTCGTCTCCTCTCACATTCTGAGAGTCGCATCCAAGTCCTTCAACTCCCTACTTGCTTCCAAGTTCGAGGAACATGCCAAGACCCATTCCGGTTCGAAGCCTGACATCACCTTGCACCATGACAACCCCGACGCCATGGAGATAATCCTTTCCATTCTACACTACAAGCACCGAGACGAGTGGTACAACCTCAGTGCCAAGATGATTGCAGTCATGGCCATACACTTGGACAAGTACGACTGTTCTGCATCCCTGAGACTTTGGGTGAATCACTGGCTCGTTAACTTTGGGCAGGTGGAGCATGGGGACGTTGGTTACCTCTTGGCAGCGACTGCGTACCTCGGCGAGTCGGCAAAGTTTCAGAAGATGACAAGATCTGCTATCTTGTATCTCCCAATGAACTTTGACTTCAATGCTTGGTATGAAGACGATATGGTGTCTACCTTGCCGGAAAATGTCATTCGTGAGTTTGCTAAGATAAGTAGGTTGAGAGGCACTTTGACTAATAGTTCTTAGGCAACATCGTTCGCAAGACGAAGTCAGTCAAGCAACGTCTGTACGCTCTCTTGCAGGGAACCATCATCGATCTTGGACGGAATCAATCAGAGATAGGCCTGATGGACACTTCCCGCTGCAGCAAGTGTCTCCGCACCTACAAGAGAACCCAGAACATCCGTTGCCCCAACTGCCCGCCTACCAGTGGTCAACAGTCTGAAGCCTGTGACTTTCCGGTCGTCTGTTCTCCCGAGACAAGAGTAGCTGAGTGCACGCTCATGTTCTTAAAGCACCAGCTGTACCCGAACGAAAAGGCATGGCGTGAGAGTACCATTGCCGACATCGCTCGCCGTTTCAATAAGATCAGGGGAATGAACACCCACCGGTGTGACCTTGACCAGAGGTGCCCCCTGAAGAAGCGGTTGGGCGAGCTAGACGACGCTGTGGTCGAGGTGATTGATGGCATCCGGGGCTGGAAGCTGAAGCTTTCTACCACTGATGATGATGCTGTCAAGTCTGACGGCGTGGACGAGCCCAGCAAGTCGTTGACGTGCGAATCAAAGTAGAGCGATCAGGTGGTTTTGGCGAATTTCAAAAGGCAAGTGGGTTAGTTGATGATTTTGGCTTCCAGGACACGGCGGTAATTGGGCAACAAGAGCATTTTGATTTCAGATCATTTTTCCAGATCAGTTTAAGGAGTACCGGTCATAGAATTTCACTCAGCAAGTCCTTTGGTATCGATATTATTCCACTGACCTTCTATGCTGCTCGAATTGTATATGGAACCGTTCGACATTTTTGCGCTGGAACAAGCAGGCAAACTAGCATAAGAATAATCAACGGACGCTCTTGAAGCTTCCTGCCATATTCGGGTTGTCAAATGATTTTGCGTTTCAACGAACTACCTATACTACCTTACCCAATCTCATTCAGGACTCAGGTGGTGGCTCCTTGGCCAAGGCGGGTCTGACCCCGGCTCAAATACTATGGTGGTGGCAGTTGCCTTCAGGATAGACATCTCAACGGAAAGCACGAGACAGAGCACCTACTGCTCTAGAAGCTTCGCAGATAACATCCAAGCTTTTCATCTTCATTTCCTTCTTGAATCTCTCTATCCTCTCTGCCTCATCTCGCCAATTCCATACCCATCTACTGAACCGCGCTACTTTATTAATCCAGCACCACGGCCTTTTCTGCCGCGTTGTTGCTTACACGTATCCCTATGGACGGCGAAAATCACCCATCTGAGAAGATGGTCAACAGCGCACAATCAACCGGGATGGTAACCCAGACAAACTCCGGGCAGCATCAGCAGCTCCACGGGGAAAAGCCTTTGGGGGGCGTTCGTCAGTTCTCGGACGTCCAAGTGCAGCACTTCACCGGGCAGTCCGAAACCATTTTCCCCAATGGAGACTTACACGTAATTCTCCTCGACTCTCGGAACACAATGCTCGCCGGCTTCCGCGTATTTTCCCAGATCTGCCGGGCTTCGGGACTATTTGCAAAGTTGATCGATACAGAGTTGAGCGGACAGGATGGCTGCAAGTTCATCTTCGTCCGTCTCTTACCTGTACCTGGATCATGGAGACTCGACGGGCAAGCCCTCCGCTGCATACTCTCGGTCTTGCACCACACCAAAAAAGATGAGTACATGAAACTCGACGTTGGAGAGCTTTTTCGAGTCTCGGAAATGAGCCTTTTCTTGAAGTGTAACGACGCGCTCGCGCCGTAGATCGGCATCTGGTACCCAAAAGCCCTCCAGAGCATTATCGATGGCGAGCAGCCATCTGTTGTAGAGCTTGGAATGCTTTTGAAGTCAGCGGATAACTTTGAGGCCAAAGACGAACTCGTCAAGCTGAGGCAGTTTGCTATGCACAATCTTCCGATGCATTTCCGAGAAATCTGGGCAAGAATCCCGCCGCTCTTAACTCTAGCAGATTGCAAATCTCTCGGTAAGAGTGACGGAGTTACACTTTCGCTGGTCCCTGTTATCTCTCCCCTGTTTCCGCGATTTTCTGCGCCATGGCAACTGGATAGAAGCTAGTATGTGTCAAATGCATGAAGCTAACACGGTTCAACTCTAGATGGACTCCAGTTTGATGTCAACGAACGACTGGTACGAGCTTGCTCGCGTATTTGGTCTTTCGAGGGCCTCCTGGACACCCAGAGCGAAGGATACATCACCACCAGACGGCTCTGTCTCAGCTATGGGCGGCGACACCCGTCCAACGCCAAATTATGCCACCTTTGTCTCAATGCAACACTGTACGATGATGTCTGTACCAAAAATTCTCGAGTCGGCGAGTACTTCAGGATCCTCGCGCTCCAGACATTGTGGCCCACCACGATTTGGACCTCGGACGATGCCACTCTCTCGACAATTTCTCAGCGCGTCAACAATTTGGCAAGCCGCATCCCGCATACATGTAGCGGCGGTTCCAAATGCCCCCTGATTGTCCACATCAGCGCTCTACAAGGTCATTTGAAGCGGACCATGGATGATTGTACTCAGAGCAACACTTCGGTACACCTGGGGAGCACGACAATGTGACCATGACCGAAATCAGGAAAACCAGCATGGTGGAAGGTGGCGGTGCTATCGCGGAGGCGGTGGTCGAGGATATTGACAAGGACTAGGTCTGAGACATGAGGAGCAGTTTGATATGGACAGCGAGCATGCAGCAACAGGTTTGGGTTGAAGCGAAGATTGGCATTTTTCTTATTGAAATCAGAGCTTTGGGTATTCCCTAACGCCACAAATGAAGACTGATCAGTTTTAAAAGCGGACACCTTGTCCGAAAGTTTGACACAAACGCCTGAGCCCATACATCTATCCGTGAAAGTCGTACAGCCGCCTATGCCTCTTGATTCAGAGTTCATCAGTAGGAATCCATTGCATCTTGCTGTCGACGAACTTATGGCTAGAGAATATCATTAGCAACCAGTGGGTGCATTGGAGGTTATGAAGACTTACTTCATGAATTCCTGATTTGTCAAAGCCTTCTCTCCATACTCAGAGATAAGCATCTCCTTGTACTTGTAGGGGATCTTGGCCTTGACACCCTCAAAAGTGGTATCGAGCAAGGGATACAGGAACGTATCGCGGAACTCGTGGCCATTCTTGGTCGCCAGTACACCCTCGCCCTCGGGGTGGTCCTCGACATAGCGAACAGCCGTAATGTCGATGAAGAGCCCATTGTCCATGTCGATCCAGCGGGCGTCAATGACGTTGTCCTCATCAAAGCTGTCCTGCCCCCGGTGGACGTAGTTGGGGTTGACCTCGAGCTGGAAGTAGCGGCCCTGCGGGATGGTCGGATACTTGTAGTACCAGGTGGTCATGTTGTAGTAGGCGGCGAGGAAGTTGATGCCGTTCTCGGTGACTTGGACGTCGGCGTCCGAGTCCCATGGAAGCGTCTGCTTGTTCCACCACCAGCCGAGGAGGGAGCCGTGCATGAGCCAGGTCTGGACGCCGAGGTCGCGGAGGGTGGCGAGGTAGGTCTGGATCAAGACCTGTACTGCTTCGCGCTGGGCCGTTGCGTTGAGGGGTTTTGTGGCGAAGCGGGCGTCGTAGTGGATTGAGAAGCTGGTGTGGGTGTTAGTTATACCGTCGAGAATAAGGTACTAGGTCGTGAGGAAGGTGTTGGTGTTGGTGATCTTCATGGGATGGTTTATTAGAGTTTCGGGAAGACGCTTGGTCGCTTCTTTCATCTCATCTCCCCCCCCCCCAAATCTCATCGTCCCAAAGATATCGGAAAGGCACAAAAATTGGCGTGAGAAGCATTTGATGACTTACTCTGATTCCTGAAAGTACTTTGGTGCTTTGCCCCGCGATTCCTTCCGCTCTTCCACACTAGGGGTTGAGGCTGAAGTTTTGTCTTGGATCGGTGTGGCTTGCGCGATGGTGAGACCAACGACGATCGTCGAAAGGAGGCGTCCGATTTGCATTTTGGCTTGATTTTCCGCCGTTTTACTTTGGCTGATATCGACTTTTTTGAAAGCTCCAAACTTTGTTGCGACTTTGGCTTGTATGGTATTTTTCTTTTGAGAAATATGAGTATTGGAGAGCTCCGGAAGTTGCGGTCGTTTGATTCCTTCTCAGTTCCTGTTCGTCTGAGGTGGGCAAAACGTCATCGAGAGGTGCGGTGCGGTGCGGCGATAAGCAGGCAAGCTTGAACAGGGAGCAAGAGCGCTTGGTTCCTTCTTTCCCCCGAGTCCCTGCAGTATGAGAGATTCCGATTTTGCGGCGAGGTTGTCGAAAGTCGAGGGACGTCCGTCCAGATGCAAGCCAAGAAAAACTTTGATAAAGCAAAGCTCGACAGGTACACCAATCACTTTTTCCACCAGAGGAACAGCTCAAGAGGAGACGGGAGGGGAGGGGGCCGCACTGGTTTTATCTACCTCTAACTCTTCCCAATAGACATACACATATGCATTCCTTCCATCCTCCCCCCATCATCCCGTAGTGTATGTACTGCGTGGTGTACGTACGACCCAATCCGCCGAAGAACCCGATGCGTGCTCCCGGTTACCCATCCATCGACGGGACGGGGTGAGAGAGAGAGGGGCGGCGAAGGCGCCAGACCGGGGTGTGTGTTCAGTTCCAAGGGCCGAAGCAACAGGTTAGCAAGAGGAAAAGCATGCGTAAGACCCCCCAAAAACCTGATGTGATCAACAAGCTTAGCCTCCTCCGAATTCGAACGCAAGTTGCAAGCCCCCAACGGCGCGCGGGCGGTACTGCGGCAGAGACTCTGTCAAAAACCCATGTTCCCTTCTAATCCCAGCTCACCCCCACATGTACCTACGTACGCGCCGGCACTGCGACAACCGTGCAAACGGCCGGACCAACACAGCAAGCCCTGGCTGTGTCCTACGGGCAACAACAGAGCAGAGTAGACGGAAGCATCAGCGATGGGCGTTTGGTGGGCCGACTTACCCGCCATTGATGGCCCGGGGTGAGCTTGCACCGCGTTAGAGAGAGCCGAAAATGCTCACCCAGGGCCCAGGCATGGGGTGTGGGATGTTGGGTTTCCTTTGACGTGACGGTGTAGGTCCGTAGCAGTGTCCCTGTTGGTGCTTTTTTTTTTTCTTTTCGGCTGGGCCGCGTCATATTGTGCCCCCCATTCCTCCCACGGTGCCGTTTGGCGCTGCCGTGTGTCCCGCACCTCTTCCCGCACTAAAGATATCGCGGGCGGACCGGCATTGGGTGGCCCTTGCATACGTTGGGTTGCTTTTTTGGAATGGGAATATCCTATGGTGCTATGGTGCTATGGTGCTATGGGCGATGCCTACCTGACTGCCGCCCACATCCCGAGGGGGGGGGGGGGCGACTCCACGCAGCGTTCACAATGTGCTTACGACGTCTTTCTTAATTGTCTTTTGCTGCGCGCGGCGCAATGCTGTGGAATTTTAATGAGGCTCAAGCGGGCCCAAGGGGGATGCTGCTCCGATTGCTTTTCGGCTTCGATCTTTATCCCCATTTGGCTCATTTGGGGGACGCTGGAAATTGCATATGGGACGGGATGGAGCTTTGTGGTTTTGCGCTCGGGTGGCCGCGTTCGTTGTCTCATCGTCGCCGGAAGCCGTTTGGCTTGATTGTGATTACAGAGTGTCATTCAACGCGGTGAGATGCGTGGCCTGGTTATTGGTCATTGCATTTCATTCCATCATGATAAGTGGCATGTGGGATCTCGGTAGTGCTATGGGCGATCCGACTCATGAATTTCGGTCAAGGCTCGAGAATGAGATCCTACTATTCTAGAGCATTATCCTCTGTCTGTGCTCAACATCCTGACTTGTCCGTGAAGTGAAGATACAAGTGCAGCTATCCTCGTGGGTAGAGTTGATGGTAGAAAAGACTAAATCCCGAGAATTAAGCTTGTCAGCAGAGGTAGCTGGCACACTAGTCCCCGAAATACGTTATAGCCTGGGACGACATCAGAAAAAAGGCCATCGGTTGCACCGAGTCCAAAAGATGGTAATATCGAAGTTCATGCTCAGAGTCACCTCGGGCCCTACCGAATTTGCGGTACTGACACACTGAGTACATAGCACGTAGTGTGGAGCGAATGCGATCGTCGACTTCTCGTCTCTTAGCACCTTATCCAGCTTCATTATCGCACAGTAGCTTCTGATTTGACAATTGGACAAATTCGTTGGAAATCTTGGCCTTCGTCGACGACTAGCGCCATGAACAGCTGCGCAACCTGGTCGGCCTAAGAAAGCACGGCCGGCCAGCTTTTGTACGAATATCCGTAAAACGGCGCGGAAGCAAGCGAGACAAGGGTCCCCGCCAAAAACAACAGCGCCGAGCCTGTGCACCGACGACTCTGCAATACAACACCATCCTGCTAGATGGCCATGAGATCGACTCTGCGGGAACTTGGGAAGAGGACTCCGCTCGCGCTACCAATATAGACCGACCCAAGCCAGCGGATAGGGCAGGCCCAAAATGGCAGCCTCCAACTATGTCACCAGGCAGTACGCCTCTGAAGCTTTTGTCGAGAGCTGTGGCGCAATCCCCTTCGACTTGTCCAAAGACCCGGCAAGGGTCTGCCTGATTCATTACCTATCCACAGACGAATGGCTCCTGGCCAAGGGCAGACGCAATTGCGGCGAGTCGAGGCATGAGGCAGCCTTACGAGAGGTGCTTGAGGAGACGGGCTTCCGCTGCCGACTTCTGCCTGTTGATATGGCCACGCGGGCGACGGGACCGGATGACGATGCGAATGTCCCAGATCAAGCAGCCGCGCGTCGAGGACTCACGGAGCCGTTTATGCTGACGATGCGAGACGTTGATGGAGGATCTGGGGTGAAACTCATCTGGTGGTATGTCGCGACTCTTGAGGAGGGAACTGCGAAAGAGGCGGTCGGTGGGGAGGCTCAGTTTAGTGCGAGCTTCTTTGGTCTTGATGAAGCTGTACAGAGACTGACCTTTGAGGACGACCGAAACGTTCTGAGGAAGGCCATCCAAATCGTCAAACAAACAACCCTTGTGTCATAGGCAGCCAAGTTCGGTCAATAAGCAGCTTCTTCTACCTTGCTCATGCCCCCCGCCTGAAGATGCATTTCTTAATTGGGCATGGCCTTTGCAATACGCGCAGCAGCGCAGGTAATGTTGGGGCAATATCCACCCTTTCTTCACTGGCGCTATCCCTCAAGGTGGGGGTTACATAAGCGACCCTGCCAAATACGAGCCAATAGAGTCTCTTCCTGGTAGGACAACGTGGCTGGGGGCCTGGGGCTGTCGTCACCTTCCCCCAGCACGGATAAGGCGCAGGCTCGAGCTGATAAGGCCAGCTGGTGCAGGTGCAGCTGGGGGGCGCAACTGCGTGACTGCCCGCGCGGCGTAAGAGCTGAATCTGGAAACTGGCAGGAGGGCACCTCGAGCTTCGTAACCTTCCCGCACTTTCAACTTGGAGATAGCTTCATTCCTCGGCTTGCTTATACCCATCTCACCCCTTCCCATCGCCGAGCTTCGTTTCAAACGGATCCGGCCTCTCCATCGGAGCTTCATCCGATTCTATTCTCCCCCTTCCACCGTGGGCGGCTCGCCGGCCTTCGTGTGATGTGAAACGGAGCTGCCGTTCCCCTTTCCCGTCCGTTCTTGTTTGCGTGTCGCAATCGCATTCCCCGAGTCCCTCACACCAACCACATCACAACTTCTCTACACATCGGAATACGCTGGAAGCTCGACTTCCCATCCGGCACCATGACTGCGTGGAACGTACGTGCTGCGTCGACCTAGATACGTGATTCCCGAGGCAGTCCGCTAACTAGCTGGCCAGGTATTTCGTTTCATGGGAGACATCTCCCATCTCCTCTCCAAATGCATCTTGATGATTGCGATACATCGCAACAGGAGTGCTGAAGGTACGCTGCCCGATTTTATACCACGAATGCCTGTTGACTGATGGTGTCTGCGCAGGTGTCTCCCTCATCACCCAGGGTCTGTACGCCTTGGTCTTCTGCACGCGCTACCTCGACATCTTCTCCGAACAATCAGCATGGAACTTCATCTTCAAGATATTCTACATTTCATCATCCTTCTACATCATCGGGGCCATGCAGTGGATCTTCCCCCGCACCAGAGAACGTGAGCTCTCGTGGAAGGTCGGCGCCGGCGTCTTCGGCCTCTCGCTCGTCTTGTCTCCCTTTGCCATGCTCATCTTTGAGAGCTGGTGGAGCTTCCGCGTCGTAAGTAAAGACCTCGCACGAAATGCTAGTCATTGCTGGCCATACAGCTGCTAACGTCATGCCAACAGTGGCTTTGGGACTTCAGCCAGATCCTCGAATCCATCTGCGTCCTGCCCCAGCTGCTCCTGCTTCGCCAGACCACCGTTCCGACCGTCATCGACTCCTTCTACCTCGTCACTCTTGGCTCGTACCGTGGATTATACCTGATCGGATGGATCACGCGTGAGCTCGACATCAACGACAAGGCGCCAAACACGGTCTCCGTCATCTTCGGCATTATCCAGACGGCGCTGTATGTCGACTTCGCCTGGGTATACTACACTCGCCAACGCGTCAAGCTCCGCAACGGTGGCATTGTTGATGCCGACGACCTGCGTAGAGGCTGGCTGCTCAACAGAATCTTTGGAAAGCGCATCGATGCCCACTCTGACGACGAGGAGAGCGCCCCTGCTCTCGGCGACGACGATGGCCAGGGCCGCCGCGGTGGTGGACGGCCCAAGTGGGGTGCCCGTGGCATCTCAGTCAGCGCAGATGAGGGTGTTCTGGATACCGAACGGGACAACCAGCGCCGGGATGAAGAGCTCGAGGAGGGTGTCATTGACCCCGATGCCAAGATGCAGGATCCCGACGAGCTCGCCCGTGTGCTGGACGATGATGATGACGACGATACGAACAAGGCGTCCGGAAGCAATGGCACACCCGCCGGGATCGACAACGGTTCTGAGTGGCGCAACTAGCCCTCGGGCCACATACCTGTCCCGTTGCTCGAACCTGGTGGCCTGAATATCTACATCCCTCGACTCACCGCGTCCCGTAAGGGCTCGGCTTCACACACTGACGCCTCGGAGAAGGCTGTCTAGCGCTAAGTGGACACGAGGCCACCGAAGCGGGAAGCGTCGTGCTAGCAGAAGTATTTGTAGTGAACAGCGTACGAGGACCACAAAGAGACAGTCTTCAAAGCGGAGTTTTTGGACATGGTTCTCTTTTGAGGGTATAAAATTGTTGTACGTTTTACGAGAGAATCAATACACAGTTGACTTTCCATGATGTATGCAGTTTCCATTCATGTTCCTTGTGTTGGCAGCGTCATCTATAGTCTGCGCCTGGTGCCTCTTGCGTATATTTGCGGCATTCCAGACACATTCGTCCAAAATGCTGGACACTACTAATGAGCTTATACAACCATGTCTGGATCGTGGACAGGCACGCCTTCTTCGCAAGCTGTCACTGGTCTCGAGTCAGGGGCTCGCCGTGCCTTCCGGGCGCCTCCCTTTTCGTAGATCAAAACATCGCAAACTTGGGAGCTCCCTCGTCATAAGCGCCTCCAAACTCGCTCCAAATTCGCTCGAATATATCCAACACAACGCTTCGCCAATGTCATCGCTGTATATTATCACAAGTGTTCCTTCCCCAAAGAGTGAATTCGCACCAGGACCAAAAGTCAGACCAAGAGAGAACAGCGTTGACTCTTGATGAACGGTTCCAGGTGTTGAGGAGGGTCGATAAATACTCCAAATCGCTTCAACCAAAAACACAGAATCCCTCGTTTCATTACACGGGAATGAAGTATTGACATGAAAATCGCTCCAACAATCTACCAGGACGTCGGTTCGTCGTTGGATCAACCGGTCGTGGCCGTTGCGGCCGCAGTGGTAGTCGTAGTCGCGTTGGCGCCAATGACATCGTCAATATTCCCGCCAAAGGTTCGAATCTGCTCCACGCTCGTCAGGCTGGCCCACTGGCCCGAAAGCACGGCGCTATCGACATCGAACCCGCCAGACGCGGTGGTCTGGTTGATCCCCGTGGCGTTCTGTAAGTGACAGAACTGCGCCGTACCCTTTACGAGCGCGACGCCGACGCAGATGCCGCCGCCGTCAAGGAACACGTCGTCGCCGACGGCGTCGCTGTAGCCCTGGTTGTACTGAGCGCAGAGCGTCATGCAGGTGAGCATATCCGGGACGGTCATGACGAGGATGTCGCGGAGGTACGGGTTGATCCCCTGGCGCATCGGGTAGTACGTGTTGCAGAGGACGTCGAAAGACATGACCTCGTCGTTGTTGAAGCGGATGGGGGAACCGGAGGCGTCGTAGGGGGTTACCGTCGTGTTCACGCCCGCAGTAGCTAGCGGGCAGTACGGGTTGATCGGGGCGGGCGAAGGGACGCCGAGCTGTTGGATTACGGCTTTTGGTTCGTTTTCGTCGGAGGGGCTGAATTTCGCAAAAAGGAGGACGCTTTCCGTCAGCCTTCGAGGCTGTCATGACGAAGACGGGGGAGGAGGAGAGACAAAGAGTTGACAGGAGGAATGGGTGGAAAGGTAAGGTAGGTAGATAGTAAGCTCGTTCGTCAGACGTACCGGTTAGCCAAACCCAACGCCAGACCCACGGCGATGGCGACGCCGACGATGATGACTCCCAGTGCGAGTGCGGCCCAGAAGCGTAGCACGGTCAGACCCAAGATTGTCTTCCTCGGGTGCTGCTGTGGCCCCCTCCCGCCGATACCATCAAACCTCTGCCTCCATGCAGCCAAGGTGCCGCCCTGTTGCCGTTCGGGGTCGGCAGGCGCCAGAGCCGGCGCCGAGACGCGGTGGTGGTGGCTTTGTCCTCGTGCGGGCACTGGCGCCGGTGTGACAACGGGCGCCTCGGAGCTGATTCTCGACTCTGGGTAGGGCGGCGAGGCGTCGGGTATGTCGTCCCCTCGGAGGTGGGCGCCCGGCGGGTAGGAAGTGAAGGACTCGATTTGCTGTATCCTGGGGGAGGAATCTATGGGCGATTGAGCCTCATTGTTTGGTAGTGGTGTTGTTGGTTGGTGTTGCGGTTGTGACGGTACGGAATTCGGGTCGATGGTCACGGTCCCGGGTTGACGCCGTTCGTGGATCGGGATGATGAACTTGTGCTTCTCCTCCTCCATCTTGACATTGCAGGCCCGCCGCGCGGCGGGCGGCGGGGATTTGTTTGAAAGATTGGGAAAATAACGCAAAAGTCGTCCCTCAGTGCCGCACGTTCCTGGCTTCTTCTAGATGTAGTTCGTATGTTCGTGGTGATTCTTCCCGGCCGACCAAAAGAAGCACCTCACAGCTGCTGGCGCATGCAGGGGCCCGCGCGTAGGATTCGAGGTACGTCCCGTCTCTGCAGGTCCTGAGGCCCTTCTTTCGTCTTCCCAGGCAACGTTGGGGAAGGGGATAAAAAGGTAGGGTATGGGAGCTACGGTAGGGCAGATAGACAGTCGTTTCTCGATCGGCGGTCCCTCACTTTGGTGTATCCGTCGCCTGTATCCGTTGGTAGGCAGAAACGAAATTGAAAAAGGATAAGCCTGGATTAAGGCAGATGAGGCGGCGGGAAAATGGGAGAACCCAGAAGTGGAAAACCGTCCGTCAAGCAAAGATACGTGGGGGGGCCAAGGAATGGAGGACTGGTCGTCTTCGAAGGCGTAAGAGTGGCAGCCGGGTTCCCTGGAAGCAATGAATCCGTAAGAAAAAGGGGATGTAACGTGGAGTCTGGAGATGGTGTGCTGTTGTTGGTCGTCTTCGTCCAGTCTCTCTTGCCAGGGTCGTTGAGTCTTGAAGAAAGGTCGTCCTTGCCAAGTTCCCAAAGCTTGCTCTTGGATATAAACGCGCCAATGAGGGTTCCTTCCTGCTTTTTTGACTGTGCTTTCTTTCGACTGAGGAAAGTCCCAAAGAGCGGGCACTGCGCAGCTCAGCTCCTGCGATGGGGACGTGGAGGGGATAATATGGAAGGAGTTGGTTAAAAAGCCGGGATGAAGGCCTCGGGCGTTCCCCGGACAGGGGCGGGTGGGCAGCGGGCGCTTGTCCTCGAGTCTCACGCCTCTTTCTACGGAGTGCAACTCTCCCACTTTCTCAGATACTCAGACTTCTTAGTGTATGGAGCACGCTACTACATAGCATACATCCAGAATGCTACACTCAAGCCGAGCCTGGGGGGATCGGAGCCCAACACACTATGACACTGATTGACAGACAGCGTGTTTCCGCAGTCCTGCAGCAAAAAGCTGATTTTAAGATGTGGCTGTAGCCGATACAGTAGTGGACCCAACGACATGGGTGACCATGGAACGGGGAAAAGGTCGGACTGAAAAGCTTCCCATGGGCCATGACGGCAAAAAGATCCAAATTTAACCCTTGGGGAAAACTCGACCTACGTCGTATTCCCGCAACAGGCTTCGCTGCTTCACGGCTGCTCCTCGGACCATTTGGAAAGACAGTCGACACAGCGATATGCAAAGCGTGCGAGAGATACAGAGAGAGAGAAGTGGAAGAAGAAAGAGCAGCAGCAGCAGCAGCAGCAACGACAACAATGATGCCTAGACTTGGAGACCATTGCTTGGCAGAGAGCCAAAGGCTGACGCCCAGCCCTCCTTCGAGCCCTTCCTTGGGAATCCTTCTTTCGGCATTTGGAACCGATGGAACGACGATTACATACGCTGCCACGAGTCTGCTTCGCTGCGAGCCTACATTGTCTCTCATCCTGCAGGGGGTTGCGATAGCGATGACCCCCGTTGGGTGAAATCGATCATCCTCCCGCCTTGCGTGAAAAGGGGAGTTCGTCCGGGCTCCCACTCGGGGGAAATGTGGAGGACCTGTCTCCAAAAAGTCTCCACGCACCTCTTTTCGGTCCGCTGACGCTCATACGCTTTCGCATCGACGCAAGACGCTTGTTGAGGGGTGGGGGGGTTGCACTTGCTTCTCTGAGTTTTGTTTGGTTTGGGCTGTTGAACATGAATCAAATGAAAGCTGAAGGGAACGACCAACCGGTCACCAGTCAAGTCTCCGTCTCAATGGTCGAGAGAGAACTTCTGCTTTTCTGCGCCCGCAAAGACCCCCCTTCGTCTTCATGCTATGATTGCTATCTAGGGCTGACGACGTGGTATCCGGCAGACGCTGATCGATTCCATTAGGGCATGAGATGCGAAATGAGACAGACAGACAGCCTGTTCGTCAGGAAAGCCAAAGACGAATCGTAAATGCCCAAACACAAAGCGCCAAGAAGGGCCCGGCAAAAAACTGTTGAAAAACAACAGAGGTAGGGAAAAGAGGAAGAAAACGCCCAAAAAAAAGTCAACAGGACTTAACGTCGGCCAAAGCCCGGAGCAGCCGACCCCTCGGGATGCAAACTGGAAAGTGGTCTGTCATCTCGGGGTCATTGTGGACTTGGTCCTTAACGTCGTGGGTAGGGCCGAGTCGACCGACCTGCCGACGGTCGACCTGTTTTTTTTCTTCTCCACGGGGCAGACGGGGCGGAGGAGGAGAAAGCGGATTGTCCCGCCACGAGGTCGCGAGAGCTTTTCTTTTTGTCTAGTTTCCCCCTTGCCCCGGTTGCGACTCGCGGGGGAAAAAGATGCTGTTGTGGATTCTGGTATGGATTCTGGTATGATTTTGGTTAGTACCCGCAACTCTCGCCATTTTCTCGCGAAATGATTTCCGAAGATATGACGGTCACGTGCGGGCGGAAAGCTGCCAAGATGGGACGGTGCGTCCACGACCATCCAGCGGAAACTGGATTGAGCTTGCATGAGGTTAAGTCGACGACATTTGTAGTCATTTCTGCCTTTACTGAATTCGCCGTGTTATTTGATATTGGTGAATAGACTAACAAACGCTTTTTGCAGGTGGATTTGCTGTGCAGGACCAGGGGGACACCGCAGCCATACTTAGGAATAAGAGAGTACTAAACTTGATGTTCACTTCATGTTTGTGATATGTTCGGACCTTGTTCAACTTCTATCGTAGTATTCGTGTTACAGGAGGCGTGCTCTCTGCGGTATCTGGTTTCGATTGAACGCTTCATTCAGCCTTCAAAACTCGGAGGCTTCTGCTGAGGACGCAAGTGTATGACAATTTAGCGTGCCGCTCATTGCTTAAGTTTTCTTTCCTTCCATGCCTCTTGAGGTGTGTGATGTGAGAAGTGAACTACATTACACAGGTGATTAAAGTTATGGTATCAAAAGTAATACGGCTAGAAATGTAGGCGAGAGAGAACTTGTTGGCGGCAGTTCATTTCGTCACCCACTGGGAGACTTGGAGGAACGTCACTTTCCAAAGCATCAAGCTAACTAATTTCGATCACCAACGCATGGCCAGGTGCTCCCATATGTAATGATAGAGACCTATTCAAAAAGAGGTGAGGATTAAAATGCCTTTTGGTAACCGAATTCCATTGGCCAAGCCGTTCCTGTGTCTTTTCCTTTCTCCCAACGCTGGCATTACTTGTGAGCCAGGCCAACTCGTTTTCTTCACCACAAGAAGGCTGAGAACATGTCCCTAAGCACCGCGGCGAGTTCAGATTCTTTCCAAAATATGATGAGGAGTTGGAAGTTTTACATTTGAGAAGAACCTCGAGACGTCTGCATCGTCCCAAGAACAAAAGGACTTTGCGTCCCTTACTCAACAAGAGATCACTCATACAGACTGGTCAGTGTGATTTCCAAACGTCTCACTCAAAAACTATCACCATATACGAAGACAATATTCTTACCAGTCGCCGCCTGCTTCCTCCGGCAACCCAACCATCTCCAAGCTCAAAGCCCACAATCTCTCCTCTTCCCCCCTATCCCAAGCCCACGAAGCATACCCCTCGCCCGCCCATCCCAGATTCTCCCCCGTCTCTCCCTTGACTTCGCAGTCCTCCAGATAAAACGGTCCTCTCCCTTCAAACTCCTTCCCCAACGCAGCCAGCACCGCCGTAGCAGCCCCTTGCGCAGGACTCTTGACCGTCCTCCACGCCGCCTCGTTCCCCCTTAACGCCTCCATTTGTTCTTTCACCCCAACCTGTAACCCCGTCATCGCCGTGCCCGGGTGAACGCTATACCCGTGGATCCCCCCGCCTCCTACTCTGACCCCATACCGCCGGTCCACGCCGTTAGCCATGAGTATGTTGGCCGTCTTGGACTGCCCGTAGGCTCTGTACCCCTCGTACGCGCCGGGCCGGGAAAAGTTGACGTCGGACCAGTTCATCCCCTGCAGCCTGTGGCCCGAGGACGTGACATTCACAACCCGCGCCGCGGACCCGGGCGTCGATGACGAGGCCATGAGGTCTCGTAGCTCCGTGAAGAGGAGAAAGTGCGCGAGGTGGTTCACCCCAAACTGCATCTCGAAGCCGTCTCTTGTTCGACTTCCTTCGGGTGTGTACATCACCCCGGCATTGTTAATCAAGATGTCCAACCGGTCACTGCGCCTCTTGAACTCCGCCGCCGCGGCCCGTACGCTATCAAGGCTGGCGAGGTCCATTTCGAGGAGATGCACATTTGGCGCCGAGGCGAAAGGCTCGCATTCTCCGTCCTCGTTGTTGTCTAAGGCGACCCGCGCCTTGGAGAGGTCTCGCGCCGTGCCGTAGACGGTTGCGCCGGTTGCTGCGAGGGCTTTGAGCGTCTCGATGCCCAGGCCCGAGGAAACGCCGGTGACAAGGATGACTTTATGCGGGAGTTTGCCGACGAGGTCTTGGTCTTGTACGATTTGGAGGGCCGTTGGGCGGGCGTCGCCTGGTCCGGCGAGGTTTTCGTATTTATGCAGCTCGGTGTAGCTACCAGGAGGAGGAGGAGGAGGAGGGATTTGAGACATGGTTAAGGTCGAAGGCTAGATATCGAAATGGAATTTGGGCGTGTGAGTTTTGACAGAACCGCGTCGTTTTCTGGGGGAGATTAATACACTAGAAGGCCGAGCTCGCGTTAAGACAGAGTTCATCAGCCCAGGAATCATCATCAAGCCATCTTCGTACATATATACATATATACTCATCTATCAATCTCTTCCACGCCAGACGACACTTTCAGGGAGGTTGCCGCAAGCCGTAGACCGTGAGAACTTCCGCCTTAAGTCCGGCCATCCAGTAAGCAGCAGCAGTCAACCTATTCAATAACCTACAAGACTTCGAGGCTGCCTTGGCACCACTAGCAAGCCTACCAGACTCGTCGTCTGACAGAACAAAGGGCTTGACCATGCAAGGTGGTCGGTGTGCCCCGGAAACCCGCAGCTTTCCTCCGAGACTGTGGACCCTGCATTAAATCCGGGCCGGACCTTTGGCTGCCACGGTACGTCACGGGAGTCACGGGACGGCAAGCTCAAGTCTACCCCCTTCTCCCCGCCGAAGAATATGGAATCACTAGGCGCCGGATGGCGGCGGGGAGGTATCCGGAGGTGTCTCAACAGCCTCACAGTACCTTACAATGTCCCGTAGATGTGTGTACGTGTGTAGTCCGTCGAACCAGAGAGATGAGAGGGGTCTCGGACCAAAGGGTGAACCGCGTAACCCAAGAGCCGACCTACCACGTTGACCGCGGCGTCGCAGTGGCCTGGGCAGAGAGAAGTGCTTGTTTGGATGACAGCAAGGCACCCTTGCCGCCCGATGGCTATCTTACCCCGCGGCACACGTTACAGCATCTACTAGAATACTACCCGAGGTCTTGTTCTGCCCATCATTCATGCGAAGAGGTTCCGCTTTCGAAATCGACCTTACTCGGAAATCCGACTTTCAGATGGTTGCAAGACTAAGCTGTTTTAGTTGCTTGAACTTGAGGGGAGTCTCAAACAAACTCGTTTAGACTTACCTTACGTACAAAGGTTTGGCGGGTTAGCATTACGCGCCTACTCACCTTATCCAATCGTGTGTACGTAGGAGGCAAGCGACCGTGCAGAGCACAGCCAGGAGATGCGTGTAAGATATGAAATATTTGTACATTGTTAAAAATACTCATGATAACTATCGACATTTCAAGCTGCAGATTGTTTGCGCTGCATCCGCCCTGGGGGATTATTCCCGTCCGTCCGACCTGCCCGTTTTTAGCCATGGGTCTTTCTGGCCAGCCCGAGGTATCTTGACCACGTAAACTCCTGTAGATATAACAAAAGATGAATTCAAATCAATGAACGAAGCGCTTCTCGAATTCGTCGAAGAGCAGGGGACTGATTTCGTCGCTGCTCATGCCCTCGACCTCCCAGAGAACGCCCTTCTTATCGTAGTGTTCCAGGAGAGGCTCGCTGGTCTCCTGGAACTTGCGGAAGCGCTCCTTGTACACCGCCTCAGTGTCATCCGGGCGCTGTGTGAGGGGCTCTCCGGTGACATCGTCTTTGCCGGGAATCATGGGGGCGTTGAAGGATGTGTTGTACACGCGTCCCGAGGGCTCGTGGACCCAGCGGCCGGAGATACGCTCCATGATGACGTTGAACGGGGTCTTGAGCGACACCACCAGGTTGATCGGAATCAACTTATCGCAAACCGCCGCCTGGGTGGCAGTTCGTGGGAAACCATCCAGGATGAAAGAGGCGTCGGGGTCTTCGGATGCCTCGGGGGGCCCATGGCTGTCGA